GTGATCCAGACTTCTGCCAATTCGCTTTTCTCGCTAGAGAACCAAAATCTCAGCCAAATGTTCAATATTGCCATGCGTTTGTGACTCAAACATCAAATCAAGTTAGTTTTTTTTTAAATACGTTATCGTTAGTACTCGTTCTGCCTTTAGTTTCAAACTTTGCTAGATATTGATATTTGCTTACCCTTCATTTAGTAACCGGCGAAGGGTATTAGTAAATTGGCCTTACAGCAAGCCGAACGATTATTGCCTTCAAGTTGCGATTGTAGGTTGCTAGGATCATGTCCGCGACCCTGATGATTCTGGGTCTGTCATTTGACAAACGTATCGAAAGCATGAAATCATGTTTAATAAATATGCGGCATCTGAACTTTGTATTATAGTAATTTATATATGATTTACAATGAAAGAAGGGATTGACTTCGCCTATGCAATTCATCTGATCTGTTAAACTGAGATGAGCCTCAGCTTCCATCTCGCTCATCTCTTATCAGTCCCTCTAGCTGGAGTTTAACTAAATGTGTGCAAATTGGTGAACTGTATTCAAATATTGCTATGCTCAGCTACTTTTAGCATAACTTATCTATCTTAGGCATCGTTTAATTATAACTTCAATATTCACTGATTCTCATAACTACATTTGTAAATAAGACAAAATTTGGAATATGGGGTCCAACTAACGAAGACCCTTTGTTACTAATTGATTTTAGAAGTGCTACATCATGTTACTCAAAACTCTACTAATTTAGGTGCTTGTGTCATTACTGTCCTTCATAATAGTCATTCACTCTGCGCGTTCATATGCATTGTTTTTTCAACAATAACAGTTTTTATATACACCTTTGTGTCAACAAGGCGCCTCTGGCTAAATAAAGTAATTATTTTTATCTCTGTTCACGCGTACTTGTTTTGACGTATTCGAGGCTGAGGATTTAAACAATGTAGTGGGTGAGGCCTTCCGTTTGGCTTACGCCCAACAGCGAATCTCTTCTTTGGTTATCGCCTCAGCAACCACACCTGTGTCACTTCCTGCCGACCTCGGGACAACCGCAGCCCCAGGCGTTTCTCATGCTGGCCAACTATCTCCAGTTATTGAGTTGCCTCCATCCCTCGATGCATTTGATGAGCACCACAAATTAGCAACTAATGGACACGGGCGGATATTATCAGATCACA